GAAAGATTATCTGAAATATAAATACTAACAGTATTTATCTTTAAATGTGGAGGCATATCAAAGATGGATGCTGACAGATATTAGGTGATAGAAATAAATTTTAAAAAGCTATGAATAACCATAAATAAAGGTGCTAGTCCATTAATCTCTCACCAACAGAACTGTGCATGTTTATGTCACAAGATACAGTTCAAGCCTGTGAACTGAAAGAGACTATTTACCAACTTGCTTGGAAAAATAGATTTTATGTTAGAAAAAATTAAAATTAATAAAAGTTAGTGTAAAAACAATAGGGAATTGATTCAGTATCTCAGAGTGGACAACTTCTTTGCGAGGAAGGGACAAAATCAATGCAGGATACAAACTAAAAGCACCATGAGAAGCCATATCACACATACAAGATGGCTAAAACAAAAGAAATGATATCAAATGCTGACAAGGATGTGAAGAAACTGGAACTCCCTTAACACTGTGGTGAGAATGTAAAATAGTATATAGTATAATAGGAAATAGTTTCCTGGCTCCTGGACACAACTCTCCCTGTGATCCAGCAATTCCACTCCTGCATACATACCCCAGGGTACTCCAACAAGGATCTGTACACACACGGTCACAGCTGCATGATTCACCACAGCCAAAGAGGGGAGACTACACCAATTTCCATCAGTGGGTGAATGTGTAAACAAAATATGTTTATTCACATGAAGGAATATTTTTGGTCTAAAGAAGAAATGAAGTTCTGGATGTGCTGATGCATAGATATACATTCCTTATGCTTTTATTGCCTCTCACTTGCCAATTCACTCTCTTTGTTTGCTCTGTGAGAGTTGGTGCTTATAAGTTTTCTCTGCTTTGTCAATCCTAGCTCTGTTAAATCTTGGGTTGAAGGGATACTGGGAGAGATATGGAGTTTGATTTCAAACTTAGTTCCCCTCTTTTTAGACAAGGGAACTGGGCTCAGAATGTTGCCCAAGTCACACACACACACAGCAATATGTCACGGCTGGAGCTGAAGCTTGGGTCTGCTGCTGGGGTCCCCAAATTCATCTGCTAAGCAGCTCCCTTCCATGTGGCCCCTCCCCACTTCCTCTTAGGTGAGAGCACACATCTGGAAACCATCATTCCAGAGCTTGGTTTTCTTTTCTGGTTCCTCACCCTGATCTCTCACTCCATCTTGGTTCCCAACTGGCTTATCCCATCCAGGTCCTTTTTCCAGCTCCTGGCAAGGATTTTTGTTTCCATGGCATCTGACACACCTGCATTGGTGTGCAGAGGGCAGGTGAGCTCTCTTGGCTCAAGCAGGCACTGGAGTGGGGTCAGAGGTTTGACCCACCCATCCAGCTACTGAGCCTGGAGAGGTTGACACCAGTCATAACCTACCAACAACCTACAACTGTGAGTCTCTAATGTCAAACAAGGAAAGTAAATCACAGAAAAAAGCCTCCCTGGTTTGCCCAACACCATACAGACAAAAAACTTGCTGGTCTTGGGGTGGGGGGGTATTTTTTGTCCTATCTTAAGAGCATGTCCCTTTCAGTGTGCTTGCTAATATTATTTCACATTTTAATTTTCTTCTAAAACCCCTTTGGAGCAGAAGTGATTATCATATAAATTCTTCTCTTCTCTAGGTTTTTCATGAGAATGTATTTTTATATTAAAATACAGTGTGACATTATCCTGTGTGCGTTATTGTTGGTTAGTTCAGTTACTTGACCATTTTCTTGGATATTGTTAATTTCTTATTTATATATTTTTTAGATATAGATTAACACAATACCTTTATTTTATTTTACTTATTTTTAAGTGGTGCTGAGGATCGAACCCAGTGCCTCACACATGCGAGGCAAGTGCTCTACCACTGAGCTACAGCCCCAGCCCAGATATTGTTAATTTCATTGAATTAAAAAAAAATGATTGGGCTGGGGGCGTGTGCTCACTGGTGGAGTGCTGGTCCAGCTGGGTTTCATCTGAAGCACTAAAAATCAGGAAATTATTTACTAAATAATGAATGAAAGATTAAATATAGCATGTTGCCAATAGGTAGAGACCTTTTCTTCTCTCCATTTTTTTACAGCATTTCCTTGAGAAAACCAGTGATTGAAATATTTCTTTGTCCCTGAAAAGCGAAATAAGCTTCTTGCCTGCATTCCAGCTGGTAATGTGCTTCTGAAAGCCCTGAGGGTCATCTCTCTGAAATGGGTTGTCTCCCTCAAAGTCCGCCCTGTTTCTGCTTCTAGTTTCTAGTTTAGGGTTTGCCACCTTATCTGTTGTTTTCCTGTATGAAAAGCAACTGAGGATTCATTTTCAGAGTTAAGAAATTTGGTTAATTAACAAGAACCCCGTTAATCAACAGTGTCATTTGACAGCAAAGAAGCAGTCCAGACTGACATGATCACATGCATCACGAAGGTGAGAAGGTGTTTATCTTATGTTAAGTTTCCCCAAGAACGTGCTGTGCTGTGCTCTTCAAAATCATGAAGCACATGTGTTCTCCTAAAATACACACCCTCTTTAAAATGAAGGACAAGTGTGTCAAGGCATGTTGAAAAAGGACAGTTCATTGTTCACAACTAAATAATGAAGACTAAACATCAAATGAAACTTTATATGTACAGCAATTCCGGGTACTACAACTGAACTAAAATATAATAGATATATAAATGAAAAAGATAACAAGAGGAAAATCTCTATTAAAAAGTGAAAATACTTGGGTACATATAACAGATAAAACACCCATCATATAACTGATTAGGAACAATATGTTTTCAAAGCAATAACTATCTTAAAATTATTTAAAATCAATAGAGTAATAATTCAGTAGCCAACGTATTCAAAATAAACCAATAAAATGCGAAATATGTAGCAAAAGTATAACAATACTATGGTTCTAATTTCTTGTTTAAAAGTAATTCCCTCTCCACCAGAACCCCTGCATGCCATCTTCAAATGGTCCTAGACTGTAGTAACTGTATATAAAAAGTAGGACTCTGACATTTTACCTCAAGGATGATTTGTATTCAACACTCTAAAATGTAGGGAGTGATTCAGGAAACCATGGAACCAGAAGAAACCAGTTTCTCATCATTCCCAGGGGAAGTATCCCCCCTACCCCCAGCTCCCAGGATTACAATTCTAGCAAACATGCAGCTGTTCTAGAAGAGTCTTGGTTCTTCTGGACTATCTATACAGAGGTTCTTCTCTTCCTTTCTCATGACTCCCTGTGTCCCCATAGACATTCTGCTGAAAATGTGTCTCCCCCAGTGATCTGGAAGGAAGAAGGAGTTGTTAGACTTCATGGACCCAGTTCTCTAGACGTGAAGGTGAGTTACACACTGAGCCAGCCCTAACTAGAGCTTAGACCAACTTACAAACCTTTATCTCTGATCCTCCATTCTTGACACCAGCTCTGAACCATCTTTTTAATTTTGGTTCTCATACTTTACTGACCCCAACTCTAAAAGGTGTTTCATATGGTCAGGCCCAGAGTTCTGCTTCATTGCAAAGACTTGAGTTGATTCTGCTGGTGGATTAGAGCACACTAACGGAGACTTGGCCATAAGTCACATCCTGGTCCTTGCCAATGACTTCACATCTGAACTGAAAATCAATAACATATCAACATCGAGGACCAGGGTACCAGTTGACTGATCCCTATCTAATCCCTAACAATTCCAGATAATGTCTGCTCCTAACTTGACTGCTTGCACATGATTTAAACCAAATCTTTGCTTTATGCTTTACCCAAATTTGTAACTCTGATGTATTGCTTGTAAGAAGATGCCCTGATATTTCTTAACCTGATGTGGTTCTGACAAACTTCCTTGACCATGAACTTGAGGGGGAATGATATCTTTGTGGGAGAGGAGAGTTTCATCCCCCAAGCAGTGAATCAGTGGACAGAATACCTTCAGGAGTTAGTTCTGTCTGTAAGCCATTTGTTTGAAAGCAAACTGGGATGAAAATAGAGTTAATGAAAATTATCTTCATTGTTGAATATGTGAATAGTTGCATGGAATATCCTAACGGGGCACATTCACATTGTTCTAAATTAATCTTCATACTTGGGGGCTGGGGTTGTGGCTCAGCGGTAGAGCACTCGCCTCGCACGTGCGGGATCCTGGTTCGATCCTCAGCACCACATAAAAATAAATAAATAAAGTAAAGATATTGTGTCTAACTAGAACTAAAAAAAAAAACTCCATACTTGGTATCCTTAAGGGATGAATGGTCCAAAATGAATTAAAAAGAGAGGGTAAAAAGGCAATTAATTTAGGGCTAGGAATATAATATAGATAGCTCAATTGGTAGAGTGCTTGCCTTGCATGCACAAGGCCCTGGGTTTGATCCCCAGCACACACATACACACAAAAAGGCAATTAATTTATAGGGGGAGAGGGGAACTCGTGGCTATTTCATGGGATATTATTCACGTTAGACAGAGACATTTCATCAAAGCTGGCATTTGGGCCCAACTGGTTTGGGTTAAGGATTGTTAGCACATGTGTGCCTCTGTAACAATTGTTTTTTCCTGAGGTCTGGCTGAGCAGCCTTATAGCACCCACTAGTACATCTGTAGTTTGTGGCTTTGAGGCTGTGAAGCTGACCGGGAGATTCAGATTGTGTGTGCATGTTTGTGCTGTTGCATGGTGTGTAGAGGGTGGCTGTGGGTGGGAGGTGACAGGAGTAGGTCAGCAGTTGGGTTCCTTGGATCTTACTCTTTTTTTTTAATACTTTTTTTTTAAGAGAGAGAGAGAGAGAGAGAGAGAGAGAGAGAGAGAGAGAGAGAGAGAGAGAATTTTAATATTTATTTTTTAGTTTTCGGCGGACACAACATCTTTGTTTGTATGTGGTGCTGAGGATCGAACCCGGGCGGCACACATGCCAGGCTAGCACGCTACCGCTTGAGCCACATCCCCAGCCCATTGGATCTTACTCTTATCATAGACAATAAATGTCCCTGTCATCGGGCCATGGAAACAGAATTTCATACCTCCTCTCAGGCCAATGACCTCAGGCCTCCATGGACCTATGACTTCTAGGGATTGAGGGTACGATCTCGGCCCCACACCCAGAGTTCCGGATTGTAAGTTTGAATCTGGAAAGAAAAAGAACCCCAACAAAAACTGAAGGCTGCCCACTCCTTCCCTGTGCAGCCTGCAGAGTTTTCTCTGCAGATCCCACCTGCAAACCCCACCTTTCCGTGTCTCTCCTATCAGCCCATCCCTCTCCCCCCACAAGCACACACAGCACCACCCACCTCCTCACACTCCTCCCTGGAAACCCAAGTGTTCCAGCCCATGGAACGGATGAACTGATAGCGTAGCTTGTGGAACAAGGGACGCTGGGCGTGGCTCTTCCCGTAGAGGAAATGAAAGATGCCTTGTTTAGGAGCCTGGTTGTCCTCTTCCATATCATTGGCCAGGTAGCTGGGGAAAAAAAATCAGGTTGCTCCTCAGGGATACAACCAGGAAGGACCTCCTCCTGAGGTCAGATTCCCCCAAACGAGGCCAGGCTGACCATCTTTAGACAAGACCGCACCATCCCTATCCAGTGTTATGGATGATCATCCCTTGGTCCAGAGGCCCCTGATAGAAGGGGGGGCCTCTCTCACACCCTGAGGCTGAAGATAAACCTGATGCTGGAGCACCTGAGGCTCCTTCCTGCCACCCACACCCAGTGCAGTTGACACCAGTTTGCACATCTCTATCTTCATCCCCCTCCCTTCAGTTTCTTCCATGTGCTCATATCTATGTCCCCTACCACAGCGGGGTGCCCCTCTGCTTTCCTCCCACCATCCCTGATAATGAATCCTGACTGGCTAAGAAGCTAGGAGTGTGAGTGAGCACACCATACCCAGGTAGTATCCAGGCTTGTTCCTGACTCTGGATAATTTCTCTAGTCATTCCTTTCCTACCAATTGGCTAGCAGAGGGTCTGGTTCATATGTTTTTTTAATTCAACAAGACATTATTATTTCTCTCTTCCCAAGGTCCCTCTTCCTGGCCACAGAGAATACACTTCATAATGTTCTGTTGAACAGACGAATGAATGAAATCTTTATCTATAATAAATGCCATAATGACCACTTCATAGACTCAATGCTATAAAATAAATTCTTGCAAGATCAAGATCAAGATAATTGAGCTGAGTGTCTTAACAATGTATGAATATTTTGATAGGACCCTGCCTTCCTAAGGTGTTCCATCCAATGGCATTAGGGCAAGGAACAGGGGAGATAAGAAAGTGTAAACTGAAATAAAATATTATGGCCTTAATCACTTCCAGGGTGCAGTAGCTTACTGATCAGGAAGCACAGCACAGACTGTGGTGTTTTCTTTTGTTTTTTTTCAGACAGAATCTCTCTCTCTGTTGTCAGGCTGCTGTCCTAGGCTCCAGTTTCCTCCCACCTGTGCTTTCTAAGAAGCTAGGAGTGTGAGTGAGCAAGACCATACCCAGGTAGGTTTCAGTGTTTTAGTTGATTTGAAGGATAGTTCATTTTCTTTAGGTACAAATGTGTGGAGTCAGCTCGACAGGAAACACAAGGTGATGGGAGAGAAGAGGGAATTTGGAAGGAACAGTGAAAGAAAGTCAGAAGGAATTTAATGGTAAAAGGATTTAATGATGGAGAGATTATAGAGAAGGCTAAATGCCACACGAGGACTCCAGTTTTGTTCTAGAAAGCCATGAGCAACACAGTTGCTGAGGAGGACTAAGAGGGGGTTGCACCCAGGTTTGGAAAGATTTTCAGGGAATACATAGAAAACTATGAGCTGAGGGATATCCACAGGGAGAATTTTACAGTGGACCAGTGCTGTGCAGACAAGACCTAAATTTGGCATCTTTCTTGGAAATTCAGAGGCAGAAGATAAATGTTGGTGTAGATGTAGGAAGAAAGACAGTAGTCAGATCACCATCCCTCCTGACTCTCTACAGGATGTGCTGTCCTTTTCACCTCCTCCCAGGTGAGCTTTATGTTTCCCTTGATTTCATTTACTCTTTTAAACCTGCCTTAAGGTGGTTTGAGTGTTTGTTTTTAGTTGGAGAATTGTAAGAAAACTATATTATTATAATGCTATTTTTTTTTTACCCAGAGCAAAAACAATAGAGGTTAAAAGGTTCAGGTCAGGTTAGTGCCCCTCTGCTTTCCTGCCCCTCTGCTTTCCTCCCACCATCCCTGAAAATGAATCCTGACTGACAGGATGAGGCCAAATACTCACAGAGCCAGAAAGAAGTGGATTCGTTGGTACTGCCAGGAGAAGAGGCCAGCCCGGCTAAAATAAGCTATGACCATAGACAGGAGGTACTGATGCAGAGAGAGAAAAAAAAACATATGTAGAGATCACACCCTGTAAGGGAAGGAATGTGGGGACAGAGGAATGGGAGGCTGGGGAAGACAGTGCCACTATTCAGAGAATGGTGCCTTGTAGGGTGACCAGCTTATCCAGGGAATGGTACGGGGAGACAATGTCAGTCGATGGCAAGTCAGAGAAGTCAGGAGGAGGGGTGGCCTAGATGTGCACTGGATGGCCATCTCTGAGGGGCCCTTCTGAGGTAGGACATTTAGGTCAGCTGTGTCAGGGGGGTCTTTGGTAAGCTGGAGAAAAGAGGGTCCCAGAGAGAGCTGAGAGGAGAGGATCCAGGAACCTCAGGTTGCAAGCAAAGAAGGGTCAGCCATGCAAGACTCTGGCCTCAGGCTCAGAACACAAAGCACCCAAGCAGAGGCAAGGTCCACCTGTCCTCTCTTCAAGAAGCTTCTAGGCTTTGAAGGGAGATGTTGATAAGTCACAAAGGGGCCAGGACCTGGGAGCATAGGAACTACGAGAAAGCATAGAGGACCAAGGGGTTAGAAAGCCCTCCCCATCCAGGCTGTGCTGGAGCAGGATCACTGCCCAGTGGAGAACAACCTCACCTTGTCAGACACCCTCAGCTTCTTGTCCCAGGCCAGGAATCTTTTGACAACAGGATCCTCTGTGAACAGAGCTCATGTGTTAGTCTGGAAACCAGAATGGGCTTGAGTGGGAGTGAGATAGAGGGGAGGGAATCAGGCCTTCTTGGAGAATATATATTTAGGGTTGGGGCCCATGTTTAAGGTGGATGAGAAGAGGGCAGGAACATTCACCTGCAAGGGACCGTGGCTTAGACCTGAGACTCCACAGAGAAGCAACTTAGTGAGGGTTTGGGTAACAGCCAGGTATCAATATGATTAAGAACTTAAACCTTGAGGGCCCAGGATTACCTCTGACTGCACCACCTCCGAATTAGAGACTTATTCAGGTCATTTTCTCATTTGATAGTCACATCAGAGTGGGAACTTGGCTTCATTTCCCACCTCTCAGGGATGAGGATATTTGGGGCCAGAATGTCAGCAAAAGTTCACTTTCAGGGGGACAATTGGAATCAAACTCTGTGATTCCAAGCAGGGACCTTTTTCAAAGATAGAATAACCTCTGTCATCTAAGGATCTCTGAGGGAAGATGGGTCCTGAGTCCTCCAGGCATGGGGAGTTCAGGGCTAGCATGACATCTTTTCCACTGGAATAGTGCAGTGACTATGTGTCATCTTGGCAACTCAGGAGGCTGAGGCAGGAGGATCACAAGTTCAAAGCCAGCCTCAGAAATGCAATGAGGCCCAAAGCAGAGACTCTCTCTCAAAATAAAAAATAAAAAGGGCTGGGGATGTGACTTAGTGGTTACATGCCCCTGAGTTCAATATTTAGTACAAAAAAAAAAAAGTACAGTGAGTGGAAGTTTCCTTCTTGTGTAAAGAACTGGACCGGAGGGCGCTAATTGGGGTATCTCCCTACCTAGCAGCCTGGCAAAGACTTCATGGTGCTCTGGTTGCACCAGGTACACACGCTGTCTCTTTAACGTCATCTCGAGCCCACACAGTGTCTCCACATCCCAGGGGTGCTTAGGCTCAGGATCCAGATCCTCTAGTTCCTCCTGTGAATCAGATGAGCACTCCCTCTTCCTCTTTTGGCCAGAGAACCCACTCTGGAGGCCAGGTTCTACCCTGGGGTTTGAGTCCAAAAAGCCAGGCAGATCCTCCTCCAGCTCTTCCCCAGAATCTGATGACCATTCTGTCTTCCTCTTCTGGCTGGAGGACTGAGGTAGGAGGCTGGGTTCTACTGTTGGGGCTGAGCAAAGAAAGCCAAGTAAAGCTTCTGTTTTGGGAATTCAGCCTTTTATCATGTACATCCAATCCACCTCCCATCAGAAACCCTAACCTCTTCAACTATTGTTTTCTCCTTTGCTCATGACCATCTGTCCCTGATTCTCCTTGCCATCATCCCATCTCCCTGTTCCTCAAAAACTCTTGCTCATTATGGACACTTTCTCCCATAAAGAGGAGTGATCCTTCCTATGTTCCCTCCACCAGCTTCCTCTGCTTGAATCTCATCTCCTAACCCAGGTTGGATTTTCCTCCCCTTTGAGAGTTCCTTTTCAGAGCTCAGTCTGGCAGGAAAGGAAGAAGAATATCAAGGAAATTTGGGGAGAGAAGAAATGATAAGACCTCCCAAGAGGGAGCTAAATAGGTACAAAAGATCACAGGTACACTGAAGAGTGGGCTGGATATGAAGACTAGGTTAGGCAAAGTTCTTCTGCTGAATGTTTATTGGCCTTCACTGTGTTCAGTAATCTGTGCTGGGAGCACATCCTGTACCCTTAGGCATCCTTGATACCTGGAGACATGTTGAGGATCTAAAATCATAGAATATTCTATACCTGCTCACCCTCTCTTCAAATAGTATTTACAATGTCATGGTGCCTGTGGATTACCTGTAGTCTGCTTCTCAATTCCAATTATTCTCTAGTCTACCTTGCTAATTTTGGTATACCAGTATTGCTCTTGACCTAGAAATTTTACTACCACTTATTTGCCCTAAAGAACACATCACATGTATAAAGAGACTAATGGAAAAATCTCCCATGAAAGACAGTATTTTTTTCCTGAAAAGCCAGGGAGAGTGCATGGGATGTGACACAGCACCCAATGGGTCTGGGGAACTCTTTCTGAACTTCCTACTCAGTCTTCTGCTTTCCTGCTGGATAGTCGAATCATGCTTTATGCTTCTGACCAAAACAGTGTAGTTAAATATATACAAAATGTACTATTTTAACCACTGTAAAGTGTAGAGTTCAGTGGCATTAGGTATAGCCATGTATTGCTCAATGATTGGGGTATGTTCTGAGAAATGTGCTGTTAGTTGATTTCATAGTTGTGCAAACATGATAGAATACTCAACTGAGATGGCTGTGACATCACTGTGGGATATCATGTAATGGAACCAATTTGTGTAACTCCCCACTTCTGCTCCCACAGCTCCTGCTGACCACCATTCAACTTTCTGTCTCTGTAAATTTGACAACTCTCTGTACCACATCTGTCTTGCATACTGTGGACTCATACAGTATTTGCCCCTGTGTAATTATCCCCTGATTATTTAACTTTGTGCACTATTCTAAGACCCTACGTTGCTGGAGGGTGGGTCAGAATTCTTTCTTAAGGTTGAATAATAGTCCCACGCATGCTAGACTACATCTTTTGTACATCTATTTATCCCTCAGTGGACGTCGGGTTGTTTCCACATTTGGATTCTAAGTCTTTCTTTTGCCAGTGTTGGACCATATTGACAAGAAGTACATCTGTTATTCGTGCTGTGCTGGAAGTTTCATTTTGTATTTTAATGTCTTGCATGATGCTAATGAACCCAGGCCAAACAGGAGTAAAGTCAAGTTAGTTCATGGAACATGCTGGGAATGAGCATCCACCTTGTTTGGCTGTCATGGATGTTTGGCGTTGGATGAGGTCCCAGAGATCTTCCACATGACATGCAAGTTCCCTGGCAGCTCCCTCACAGGCCTGTGCTGCCCACTGAATTTCTCCCTGATGGGAAAAATACTGTGCGTCAGGAAGCAGGTCCTTCTACTGTAGAAGACAAATTGTCTGGCTGCTCTGTTTATACAATTTCCATTAATGATGCCTTCAACCCTCAGAACTGATTGGGTCCTCCCATAGCAAATTAGAAGTTCACACACTCCTTTTTTACTAGAAAGTTTTCAAGTACAGTCATGTGCCACATGACAATGTTTTGGTCAATGATGGACCACATATATAATGATGGTCCCACAATATAAGATATTGCCTAGCAACTTAGGAGACATCATAGCCTCTGTAAGTACATTTCTGTGACTTCCCACGTGATATATGGACTCATGGCACATTTTCACTCTTTATCCTCCTCGTTAAGTGATGAATGACTATTGGATCAATATTCTGTTATCACTAAAATTTCTTTTCTGGACCATGAAGATCCTGATTATTTTTTACCAGGATTCCAGTTGTAGTTTGCATATTCCTGTCTCTGCTGGCCACCTGGTCTAGACATGCTACAATTAAGCAGTTCCCATTCTTAAAAAATGTGGGTACTTTGGCCAAAAATTAAGTAAACTGCCCAGATACTGTTGGATATGGACCATTGCCGCTCCACTTCTGTTTTCCTCCTATGGATGCAGTCTGATACAACAATGACTATCATTGCACTGGAGAGATAAGAGCATAAGGTAACAGGGAGGAATACTACACTACAGAGGCTGCTGGCACCTAGCCTTAAATATTCTTATTGATGGACTGAGACACCACCCAACTTAACATTTTCACTGTTATAATTTCAGATTTCAAATCTCTGGTTTGAGAAAGCCACAGAACTCCTCTAAAGAAATCAAAATCAATACAGAAGGAAATGACCAGGAAACATTTTTGTGGATAGGTGAGGTATGAACAGGGCTCTTCAGGGTAAGACTCTGACAGGCCTTGGATCCTCCCCTGATTGGACCCTCTGAACCAGCCTGCAGTCTTCTTATTGGGTGACAGCCCCCTTGCTTGACCCTGGAGTCCATGTGAATAGGAAAATTTCAGGGAAACTTTGCCCACCTCCTCCCCAGCAGGTTCTCCAAGCCTTGCTGAGTCTGCTCCTCTCACCTTCCCTTAATCTTTGGTGACTCAAGGTCTCTGGACTTTGAGGAGAACTACCCCTTCTGTCCTAAAACTAGTGAAATCCTTGGGAAAAAAGAGAATGAATGCCAAAGGCAGACTTTTGCTTCTTCTGCTCAACATGGATTCGCAGGATCCCAGCTAAAACAAATTTTAAAAGAGGGAAAATATATGGAATAGCAGTCTTTAGGAAGTTAGATCCCTGAGAGGTAATTCCATCTCATTATTTAGATAAACAGTTTCCAATCCACAGAGCAGGAGGGGCTGTGGGGGAGCCAGCATTTTCCCCGAGCAGAAAGGACAATGGGTAGAGTTGGGTATCTAGGGAGACATGGCACCTGGAGGTCACAGTGCAGAGAATCAGAGAAGTATGGTTCAGAGGCTCCCATGCTTGATATTTGTGAAGTGGGTACACAGTTTGAGGTAAGAACTGAGGCCTTGGCTGATTCCAGTTCCAGTTCTCTTCCCCATGTGGTTTCCTAGATGTAAAAGTGTGGCTTCCATTCTCTACATGATGCCAAGAAGCACCCAGAGAAATGTCCCCTGGAAGTTGGACTTACAGTCTCTGTGTCAGCATTGTCAACTTCATTCCTTAGTTAGGACTTAGACCCAGGTCATGCTCAGCAGCAGCAAAGGCTGGCCAAGAGGCTCCCAGCACCCCCAATCCCTTCTAGACTGCAGAACTGGACAAGCTCACATTTGTGCAGGGTGAGTTGAATGCTATAGAAGAGCTGCGGGCACGAAGATATCAAGATGGGTTATGTGCCCACTCATTTGGATGAGCCAGTACTTACTATTGAGGTAGTAGGATTTAGATGGCATGACACACAATGGCAGACTGCACAGCCTAATGATCGATGTGGTTACCTGCAAAGGGATGGCTATTTAATACAAGGTTTTGTCACTAAAGCATAGGAAAGTCATGGGGAATTCAATGACTGACATGATAACACTCTATAAAGGCATGGGATAGCATATGGAGGAAAATGCCCAAATTCTTAACCTGAGCATGCTCTATGACTTTGTGTGCTGCTATAATAATATATAGTTTCCTGCTGTGGATATGGACGAGTTGAGAGCAAATGTCAAGTTGTATAAAGCATAAACTTGATGAGGATTTTTATACACTTTGGACCATTGATTATTAATAGAATAATCTTAATAATCAGAAGGGGATACATGGAGTAGTCACAGGAACTTTTATAACAAGCAAACATTAAGTTTATTGGCCATTCCATACCAGATACACCAGCCTCTGGTCTGTTTTCTCCTTGGGCTGAAATGGTCCTGCTGACAGTTTTTATAAGGTCCTGAGGCTCACCTCCCCTGAACTGTCTCTATCCTCCACTCTTTAGCATAAGTAGTAATCCATCAGATCCCAGCATGGAGGTGGGAAAGGAGGATGGAGAATTAAATTTTTCAGCTAATAATCTTTTTTGAGAGAGAGAGAGAGAGAGAGAGAGAGAGAGAGAGAGAGAGAATTTTAATATTTATTTTTTAGTTTTCGGTGGACACAACATCTTTGTTTGTATGTGGTGCTGAGGATCGAACCCGGGCCACACGCACGCCAGGCGAGCGGGCTACCGCTTGAGCCACATCCCCAGCCCAATTTTTCAGCTAATCTTGAATGAGAATATTTATACATGGAAGGACCTAGGGACCTTTATTGATTAAGTTTGTATCTGGAAGATTATCTGAAGACTCACGTGTTAAAGCCTTGTTCCCCACCATGGTACTTGTATGAAGTCGTGGGACCTCTATAAGGTAGAGCCTAGTGGAAGGAAATAAGTCACTGGGCTGAGCTGAGCCCTAGCATGGGATTGCTGGATCCCAACTCTTTCTTTTCTTTGCTCTTCTACACAATGCCCACCATGCTGTGCTCCTCACAGCCCCAAAAGCAATGAGTCAACCTATCCTTTTTTAAAGTTGATTATTTGAGGTATTTTGTACCATGAACAGAAAGATGACTAAATAATTAAAAATTATTTTTTCAGGGAACCTGTACAGAGACAGAATTCACAGATATTTGACCAAGAAGAGAAGGACTCAATTGTGTGTGTGTGTGTGTGTGTGTGTGTGTGTGTGTGTAGTGCTGGGGATTGAACCCGTGCTATATCCCGAGCCCCAGAGAAGAACTCAATTTTAAGGAAGACTCCATTATAAATGTTGGATGTTTAACTCAGATTCTGAATGAAAATTGCTATTTCCTTCATGAGAGTGATTCTCACCATATTTGATTGATTGTGTCAAAGCTAGAGCAGAGAAAGGAAGGATTAAATTACATTGAACTGCCAAAATGTGACTTGGCAAATACCAAGTTTTTGAAAGACTCACTGTTCAGAATTTTGCATGTCCATGGTCAGAGCTTTGATTTTTTTTTCAGACCTTGATTTTTTCCATCTTTAAAATAGGGACCACAACAGTATCTACCCCAAGGACTTCTGTGAGGAGCCAGTGGGTTACAACATTTAAGGCATAAGAAGACCACCTAGAGACTATGTGGTTCCTATTGGGGATTTTCTATTTGTGGTGGGGGTATTGCCAAAATTTTTAATTCACTTCCTTTCTAATTTTAGGGTAGAGCTTCACTTCATGGATCCCTTGTACTTGGGTGAAACTAAGTGACTAATTCCTGCCAGAGAGTTGAGAATTCAAATCATGAGCTTAGCTTTCAGGGGAGAGTAATCCATTTCTGGTACTACAGGTGGAAAAAGCCCTGTTCTCTCTCTCTGGCACACCAGGATTTGAGATGGTGGCCATTTCATCAGGCTGTGTCCCTCAAGCATCCAAAGATTGACTGCCTGAACATCCACTATTGACACACAGCGTGCCCAAGGACTACACATTTGTTGTTAGAAGCCACACATTTATTCAAACACATGAACATGCTCACATGCATACACCAAATCACTTACATACAAACATGAACACATTCCCATATAAACACAACCTGCTCCTAAGCTCACAAGCATACTCAAATTAACATACTCACACATGAATACATCATTCATACTTAACATTATTTTCATAACCTAGTGTGGTTAGTCCATTTTTGCTACATATGACAAAATACCTGAGATAATTATCTTAAAAGAAGGAAAGGGTTTTTTGTTGTTTGTTTGGTTCATGGTCTAAAAGGTTTCAGTCCATGTCACTTGATCCTGTTGCTTTGGGCCTGTGGGTGTCCAGTATATATATTATGGCAGGTGGCATAGGAAGTCTGTTTACCTCTTGGCAACCAGGAAGCAAAGAAACAGGAAGGGGCCAGGGTCCAAATATCCCTTCAAAGGCATCCATAAACTTAAGTATCTCCAAAAGCAAGGCCTTATCTCCTAATATAGCTACTACATCCCAATAGCACCTCAGGTTGGGGAGGAAGGTCCTGCAGGGGCTCAGACCCTAGGACACAGATTCAGGATCCTGGCAGTGGAAGAAGATGTGAGATGCAGTTGGGACAGTAGACATGTTTTATCCAGAGATGGAAGCATCCTCGCCCCAAGTCTTTCCATAGACCTTTTTTATATGCAGGCCAAAGAAGGCGCAGTGCCAACAGGTTACATAGGTGAATGCATACAGCAGATATTTATGACCTTGAGTCCATATGCTGAATCAGGGTCATAAAAGATACTCATGACCTTGACTACATACTAAAACAGCTGGCTGAAAGTCTCAGTGAGGGAGCCTAATTATAGCCACCTTGGGTCTTCCATACACAAGCCTTCAATACGTGGGCCGTTGAGGAACACTCCAGACAGAAACCATTGCACTTTGTCCATTCTGATTTTAAATCATTACAGAAACTCAAAGTTTTTCAAATTGAGAACTGCTGGATTTTTCAGGTGATATCTGTCAATCAGCCCAAGTTACCTTATGGAGATTGGCTAGAAGACATCTGCTCTAAAAGGGGATTACAGGGAAAACAGTATTGTATGACACAAGTGCCATCAATAGTAAAGTTCCACTGGCTCTTAGCAAGGTGAGCCTCTGGAGCCGCAAGTCTGCGACTGTGCGTGTATGGTGTCTCTCTCATTCAGCATGAGTTTTTCCATGTGTGGAAATGTTTTTCAGCCTAAAAAATCAAATGTTGTTTCTCTTGATTCCTCCTTTACCAAGAATATAGATGGAGTGTTGGACTTCTGTTTGCTGTTTCTCTTTGGAAAGTGTTGAGAGTGTTGTGGTTAAGAGAAGCAGATGAGTAAAGAGAAATAAAACAAAATTCAGAAGTAATAGATTATAATCAGTCTCATTTTCAATTGTTTGATCTTTACTTAAACCTAACTACATCTCATCTTTTTTCTCCACAAAGCAAATCTAGTCAGGTTTTGAATCCAGGTTTGGGAGGTTTGATAGCAGAAGCTCAGAAACTTGGATCCATTTCACAAATCTCTGTGAAATCAGGTGAACAAAGACAATCATTGTTCAACAGATACAGAATGCAGCATTACGATCTTATCAGTGGAATCGTTTGGAGGGAATTTGGCAAAAA